CTTTGTACGGACCGGCATTGTTGTCCTTCGTTTTGTACATAACTTTTTTGGGGGGCAAAGAAAAAGCAAGAAGGTATTGGAACCGGAGAATGAACGTTTTGCGGTGCTGCAAATGCTTGCATTTGATGCCGTACTTGGATTTTTTGCCACGAGTTACCGGCATGCAATGCGCGAAAGTCACGTGGTCTGTCAATCTCTATAGGGCAGTACAGGGCTTTGTATCTACCACTCCGCTGTGATATAACGAGCGGTCACGGTCACGTGGCTTTCCGCTGCCCTGGAGCTCCACCCATTTGTAGTTAGAGCAACAGAAGGTGCCTGGGACAGATCAGCCATAACTTTAAACTTTTCCTGCTCATACATGCTTGGAACGATCTTTCACACTGAAGTGGACGCACAACAAGATATCATAGCGTGGCTCAAGCACGTTCATCACAGTTTAAACCACTTGTTTTGCACAACAGAATACGGCCTCCCGTCTGCAGCTAAACACCCCAATAGCTTCTGTAATAGCTTCAGCCCGGTTGGACCGGGCAGCAAAGGGCTGCTTAAATGCAGCAAACTCCTCTGCTCCTTCACTTGGACCACTATCGCTGACCATAACTATCGCTGACCATAACTATCGCTGACCATAACTACCACTTGACAGACTGATCACGCGCACCAGACACATACTTTTTTTTTCTTTTTCGAATCTTCGGATCACGTGCGTACCGAACCGTGGAGTGGGATCGGTTTGGATTTCGGATCAACCGTGATCCGTTGCACCACTATAACCTGTAATCTTAAAAGAAATGAACATCAATATAAATCTGACACAATATTACAACAATGTGACAGTTACAGCTGAAAGTATGAATGGCATGTGCTGTCTTTACACTGCTTAAACTGCAAGGCAGGTATTCATTCTTCAAAGAAAACTCTATAGCTTTAGCTGGTTCTGGTATTTCCACAGCACAAGTCAGTTGTCAGTTTTAAATGCAGATTTCCTCTGGTGATGACTTGTTTATGTATAAGAAGAGGAACAGTTTTACTGCTAAACTTTCCTTTATCTGTGCATTTTGGCTTATATTTGTGTAGAAACACCACAAAAGTCAGAAAAACCTTCAAAACTCTACCATGACAGATATTAAACTTATATGAAGAAAAATCTATATTGTAGCTATTTCCCACAAATGAGAAGAATTAAACATTTTAAAACAGCTGTATGAAAAGAAGCTATACCCTGAGGCTTCAGTGTCATTTATAATGAAGTTAGGTTACTGGATCTTGCGGCGTTCCATTATGTCAAAGATGGACCACAAAATGTGCATCTTAAATCACCAGAGAGTGTTCCAACCCTGCTGTTTCCCTTATGTCATACTGGGACCATTTTCTGCCACTTGCTTGTTTTAAATTCAAACCATTTCCACTGTGTTGAATGGAATATAGCCAAACTTGCCAAAGGCAAGCCTAAAATAGCTGAGCAGCAAAAAAACTTACAATGATCCTCCTAGGGAGAGTTTTGGGCCCATTGACAACCATTATAATACATATATACACACAC